GGCCCGCGCTGCCGGCCCCCGCCGCCGCCCATTGGCTGCCGCGCTGCACCATTGTTACGTCACCCGCCGGCGGGCGGGGCGCCCAGCGGGACCCGCGGAAAAGTTGGGAGAAACTTGAGGGCGCGCGGGGGGCGGGGCTCCCGGAAACCTGAGCCGCCGGCGAGGACAGGCTCCCGCCTCCGGGCGGCGGGCGGCGGGGGTCCTGGGCCGGGAAGCGGGGTCTGGGCCCCGCCTGCGGTGCCGCCGCTCAGTGAGTCTGGGCCCCGCCGAGCGTGACTTTCGTCGTCACCCCACGCGTCGTATTTCAGGTCCCCTTTGCACTGACTGTCTGTGACCTTGGGAAAGACCTCCGGGACTTTTTCCCTTCTGTACATGGTGGGGTCAAGGGGTATGACCTGTGACCCCTACGGATCCCGACCGCGTTCTGCCCGGCCAGGGTCGGGGTGTTTGTTCTAGGCTGCCTTTCCCGGGGAATAGATGAACGGATGCAGACAGCTATCTATGATCACCTACTGTGTGCCAATCTCTTTGCTAAACATACTTGATGTCACTTCACTTTCTCAACCCGAAGTGCTGGGAATTATGACCCCCAATTCGCCGTCCAGGAAATTGGGGTCTCCAATGAGGAGGCCGCCGGGAGGGGAAATCGCAGGGAGGTGGCCTCCAAATGCGGAGGAGCCAGGAGGGAGGCCAGGTGCTTCTGCTGCTTTTCTTCAGACATTTGTGGTGGATTGGGCCCCAGTCTCCCCAGCCTCCCCACAAGGGGTCCAAAGTTTGGGGCACCACACATGCAAGCTCCAGAGGTCACGCTGAGACCCCTCGTCAGTGCAGGGTGGCCTTGCAGGTCCATACCACACCTCTCGGGGGACTGCTGGAGACCGGCAAATTTACAGCAACTCGGTACCCCAGGGTGGGGGTACAGGGAGCACTGTGCTGGGGATCCAGGCTCTGCCTCTGCCCCACCTCAGCTTTCCTCTCCTCCCCTCTCTAGGCCTCAGTTTCCCCACAGTTTCTCCCAGCTTTCCCGTTCTGGATGTCTCTGGGTATGATGGGGGGCCAACTGAATGGAGGTCCTAGTGTTGACATTTGGCCTTTGGGAGCCCCCAGACTCTGGGTGACATCCTAGGGAGGTGGTGCCCCAGGTGAACCACCTGTGGCTCAAGGCTCTAGCCACTCTGCTCTCTTGTCCCCTTCTACTCTTCAAGGGCTGGAAGTGCAACCTCACGCCGTCTCCATGGCTACCAGTGGAATGAGGGTGAAAGGGCATCGGCTGTAGATGCCAGGGTGGGCAGGTCTCTCCCTACCCCTTGATGCCTTCCTTGCCCCCCCCTTCACTTGCCCTCCTCCCTCCTCGCTGGATTTCCCAAAGGCCTCTTTCTAAAAGTCAAATCGTTTCTCCACTGCTTAGAAGCTTCCTGTGGACATGGACATAGCCAGAAAGACCAGGTGGGGCAGGGGAAAGGCATTCCTGGCTGGGGCACAGCTGGAGCAAAGGTCTGGAAGTAGCAGAGGGAGGCTGCAGAGGTCAGTCGGGAAGGGCCGGGTCACCTAGGGCTTTGAATGCTGAGGCAAGAACCTTGGGTTTGGCCTGAGGACCTGGAGGTAGAGGCGGAGGGGGTTTGGAAGTTAGTGAATTACTGTATTTCAGGCATACAAAAGAATAATAATAATCGTGAACTCCTGGGAGCCCACCGTCCAGTTGAAATAACACGTGGAAAAATCTGAAGGCCTGTGTCTGTCCTGCCCCCCAACCCAGCCCTGGGCCTTTCCCACGGTGGCGGCTGACATTGTAACATTCTCCATCATGGCACCAGTGGGCTGGCACTCTCAGCAGGCGGCCTTTTCCTCCCAAGGTCACTTTTAGACTCATCCCCTGGGTACGTGCTGCTCTAGGTCACGGGTCGTCTCCACTGAGGAGTCTTCCCCTGTGCCCGGCACGTGTGGTCTCCCAGTGCTGCTGTGACATCCCTGTCCCCTGAGGGCCGTGGTGGAGTCTGTGCAGTGCCCAGGCAGGGCGTACTCCTCCACAGCCACTTCATATGCCAGGTTGCTGCTGTCTGAGGCTGCTCAGGGGACAGTGTGAACAGGGAGGGAAGGGGCAGCTCCCCTCAGGGAGGGGGATGGACCTGGGGGGGAGGTGAAGGGTTGTAGGGCAGGGAGGGACTGGGCAGAGGATGGAGAGGGTGGCTCAATTCCCAGAAAAAGTAAGGAGGCCTGCAGGGGGCCCCTGAGGCCCGCATGGGCAGGGGCTGCTCACCAGCACAGCCTTCTAGGTATGCGTTTGACCTTTGACCCTGTCATGCTCCCTCTGGGACCCAACTGAAGACATACTCCCCTCCTGGGAGAGCTTGTCCCAGCAGGGCAGGCATCTGTGTGTGTGTGCCCAGTAGGGAGGTGCAGCCAGTGAGGTCAGAGAGATGGGGGGCAGCAGATATAGAAAGATGCTGCCGGTCAGTGGGAGGACTCTGGGGAGGGAGGGCTCTGAGCAGAGGAGCCACATGGGCTGGCTTAGGTCTTCTCAGGCTCCTTCTTGCTGCTGAGAACGTGCCGCAGGGGGAGAGGGTGGAAGCCCACCAGTAGCCAACTGTTCTGAGAGGGGGTGGTGGGGCCAAGGGGTGGCATGGAGGTCTCTGGAGAGAAGAAGCAGTCGAATTCTATGTGGATTCTGACCGACTAGGGTGGGTGTGAGGGAGAGAACAGTCCAGAATGCCTCCCAGGTTAGGCTGAGCACCTGGAAGGATGGGGAGGAGCGGGGGGCGGGGGGGCATTCAGGAATACACCTGTCAGCTGCGTTGGGGCGTCCATGGCAACTGGAGGTTGGGGGAGAGGCCCTGGCTGGTGATAAACAACTGGGGGTCACGGTGGAGAGAAGATACCAGGGAAACAGAGAAATGGAGGCGCAAAGGCCAGAGCCAGGACTTCCTGCACGTAGGGGTGGGGAAGGGGGTGGGGCAAGGAGGAGGGGAGAGGCCCTGGGAAGTCAGACAGACACCAGGTTCCTGGAAGCCCAGGTGTCCCAAGGAGGAGGGCGTAGTCAGCTGGGACAAGTGCCACCAGCAGGTCAAGAGGACATGGCTACTTGTAGGTCACAGGGCCTTTACAAAAGGCCATGAGTGGCAGGAGCAGCCTATTTGGAGAGGGCGCAGGAGCGAGTGGGGAGAGGGTCCTGAGCAGCGGAAAGGGGGAGCTGGAGGGCAGGTGGGTTCAAGGATGAAGGGATGGGAATAACACGTGTGTGTGCACATGCGAGAGTGTGTGCACGCAGGCACATGTGTGTGCATCTGTGCACTGTGTGTGTTGACTCACCACATGGACATCCTTCCTGGCCTGAGCCCCAGCTGTCCCCAGCAAGGCCTGCAGAGCCTGTCATCAGAGCAGCGGGGCTGGCAGATGGCCTGGGCCTGGGAGCACAGTTCAGGGTGTGCACTACAGGTAGAGGGAGGAGGGTGGGGAGCTTCCTGGGGGAGGAGGCTGGTGTCAGACCTGCTGGGTTCTAATCAGCTCCTCAGCAGCTGTGGAACTTAGGCTGACTCCACCTGCCTGAGCTGCAGTCTCTTATCTGTGAAATGAGTCAGGCAGATTTTCAGATCTTGAACGGAAGCTGTTCCAAGGGCAGGATTGAGCAGAGTCAGTATGGGAAATGGCCAGGACCAGGAGAGAGGGTGGGGACATCCACCACCTACCCCCAGCTCACCTGGCTCCTGCCCTTCCACCACCTGACTGGACCGGGCCAAGCCCACCTGGCCTTCAAGGGTCTGCACCACGGGCGCTTGCTCCTCTGCTCCTCTAGCTTCCCCTCCTGGGGGCTGTGCTCGTCCCCACCTGCACTTGGGCCCAAGTTCTCCCACCAAACTCTCCATCCCATCCAACTGGTGCTTCAAGGCTCAGCTTGAGATGCCAGTACAGACCGAAGACAGGATAAAACTAGGTGAAGACAAGTGACATCCTGGGAGCCAAAGGATGTATGTATGTATGTTGGACATAGCAAAGGAATGGCATTCAGAATGTGTAAAGAGCTCCTGCAACCGAATTAGAAAGATTAACCCAGAAGGAAAATGGGGAAGGGTATGAACAGGCAAGACACACGCTGGCCAATAAACACAGGAAGATATTCAGCTTCGTAGGAAATCAGCAAATGTGCAACCTCTTGTATTGACTTTTAGCAAAAACCAAGGAGATCCCTAACAGCCTGTGCTGGCGAGGTTGGGAACCAGGCCCTCACTCTCCCGCAGAGGAGGGGAGGGCACCTCGGAAGGCCCCACCAGCAAGGAAAACACTCATGCCCTTGGGTCCAGCAATTTCCTCTGTAGGCATCTTATCCCAGATGAATACTTGCCCACGTGCCAAGTTTCATGTATGATGCTCACTGATGTGGTTTTTGTTCACTTAATTCTTTAAACT